TTGTTTAAGCTAACAGCAACACGACCAACATGTCAGGCTAACAATCAACATTTACTGAACCGAAAACCGTGACCACGAAACCGTGAACTGAACCGAACCGTGGATTTTGTGAACCGTTCCACCCCTAGTAAGCACTAAATCAGTAAACGGGCCATAAGGTGAAGCTTAGAAGTATAACGTTCTCGTCTCAAATGATCTTAAAAAGTACTTTTATTGAACAACAGCAACAGAAAAGAGAACTTTTAACTTAATACTCTGAGCTCTGTGAGCGCTAACCTGGAAGCTGCTGCTGCCGCAGTGCATGCTGGGACAGCTGCCAGTCTGGAGAGCGGATAAGTCTGCTCTGATGCATGCTGGGTAAAGAGGGAGGGGCCAGAACAACATCCGGGGACTTTGTCTGTTCTCGGTCTTCGAGTTTTTGTGAACTGGAACAGTACTAGGGCTGAGGATGATGACGTTTCACAAGGATATGACAGCGCACAAGTACACACATTGTGAAACGGCCATAGTCTGGGATTGTCTAGTTTCTCCTCCTGTTGTTGATCATCATCATCATCATCATCTTCTATTTTTAAACTGAGCAGAGAGAAAATTTGAGCTGAAAGCAGAAGAAACATGTTTTCCTAAAACATTTTCTATTCAGCAGATCAGTGGCGCGTCTGAATTTCCTCTGTCTGCAGTGAAGAAGCACTTTCACTCAGTTTAACTTCAGTTTCCAGATGTCTGGCTGCAGCTCTGAGCTTCAGCCCATCCTGCAGCAGAAGACGCTCCCTCTTTGTCTCCGTCTAATTTCCCTTTGATTTCGCCGTGGTGCTCATCAGAAGGAGCGGTTTGAGTGCCCCCCCTCGGCTCGTCTGCAGCGCAGAATCTGTCCCCCGACCCGCATCTGGGTGGGAAAAGATGATTATAATGATGAGGGTTCTTCAGCCACCCAGAGAGAGACTAATTGGCAGTGATGGGTGTGTTAATTGCGGTAGATGAGGCGGCAGCAGGCGTGTCTGAGGCAGGAAGCGCGGCTGAAAGTTGAAGAGAGGAGTCTGCAGACTGGTCCTCTTCCTCCCGCCACTGATTGATGGATGAGAGCGAAGCGGTAATGTATTCATTGTGGTAATTAGCGAGGAAAAAGAGGCCGCTTGTTACGCCGCGCAGGAAATGTAGGCCACCCTCCCCTTCTCAGCATTCAGCTCTCCTTCTCCAAATCCAGGGCGTTTCCGCTGAGACTGGGCCCATTCGCTTTTGGCCCGCCGATGATTGAAGAGGGTGGAAGGCTGAGGCGTGCATATCTAATCATACAGAATATCAGAGAGCAGACAGAGCCGCAGTTCTTGGAGAGCAGCTGACAGAAGGACGGATCCAAATCTACGTGAAAGCATTAAAGTAATCCTTAAAATATGCCGTGGCACACAGCTGCTAAGAAAGAAAGAAATCTGGGTTTCTGCCGTGCTTTAAGCAGAACTTTCTGATGTCGTCTGTAGCTCAAGTGTTACATTTAAACTCATGTCTGAGTGCATCAGGTAGTGATTGATCCAGGGAGAAAAAGTTGGAGCTGTAGCTGTGTGGATGGAACCACCTGGAACCCACCGCTGTGATATTCAGCTGCATTCAGACATGTTTGGACCGTCAGCAGCATCCAGATTACATGTAGAGTCTATGGTGGAAGTGTTTGAAAATCCAGCGCCACGGATTGACTGCTGCAGAGTCCTCCAGCGTCAGGCGCCGCACATCTAGAGCGACAGAAGCTGAAAATATGAACTTTCAGCTTGAGAGCCAATCACAGAAGCAGATCAAGGCGTTGGCTGTGAGACGTGCTGTGATCCCTCCTCCTGTTGAGCTGTCAGCATAAAACCATAAGAAGCCGTTACACTCCACTAGGTTCACCTACAAACAGAGGAGAAGGGATTTTTTCATTTACAAAGAAAAGTTAGAGCTTTGATCGTTCCACTAAAATAGTTTCTTTCTGAACTATTCTGCTGCTCAGTAGCGCAGTGGGTAGCACTGCTGCCTTGCAGCAAGAAGGTTCTGGGTTTGATTCCTTTCTGCATGGAGTGTGCGTGTTCTCTCTGGGTTCTCCAGCTTCCTCCAACAGTCCAGGGTTCCGGCACCCAGCACCCCTCATGACCCTGCTTGGAATAGGCATGACAGAGAATGGATGGACCAAATTGGAAATAAAATGGGATTCGCGGCACTATATCTGCCTGCATGTGAACAACTGCCGAATATTTAAAATTAGGATAATAAATTACTGCACAGATGATGTTTTATTGACATCTTATAGTTACCCTTTCCCCACTTATTACAAGAAATAAAGCAAAGCTACTTTCTCTGGTGCATCTGCCCTCGTCCATAGAGACCAGATGCTCATCAGTCATACAGTAGTAGCCATTAAGGATTTTTTAACTTTCCTTGGCTGGTCGCCTACAATTACTTTTTAAACATCAGTTTTTGTACTAAAATATTCTTTCTGTCATGATTTGTGGACATTAAGATCTAAAGAAAAGCTAGCCTCGTGAGACCATCCTGATCTCGCAAGCTTTCAAGGTTTCACTCGCTAATCAGTCTGGAGACTCTCTGTTAAAGAAAATTAGGAGCCGTTCACCAAACGAACGTCCAATCAGCGTTGGCTTTGAGGCGGGTTGAGGTGTGACGCAACGAGAAGCACGACAGTTCAGTCTAAAGAACATGGCGGCTTCAGCCGATGAAACTAGCGTTAGCGTGGCTATCGAGCAAGTTTTATCGGAATTACAGAGTATTTCTTCACTGAAAGAAGAGCAAAACACTGCTCTGGAGGCTTTTCTCAGAGGAAAAGATGTTTCTGCTCTTCTCTCGACTGGTTTCGGCAAGAGTTTGATCTATCAATTGGCTCCTCTTCGTCGTCGCTCTGTTAGTACGTCATATGCTTCGTTGATCTGATTGGTTTATTTGGCCCGTCTATCACCAACATAGGCCAATCAGCTAACCAGTATTTTTTCACCCCTTCCCAAAATTACTTCAACGGAAGGTTGAAGGATGGATTTGCTCCGCATATCCATCTGGCGGAGTCAGGTTAAAGAAAAGCGCCATCTCCTGGTCAGACCCTGTAATTCAGTGAAAGGGTGTGTATGCACGTCCAGGAGAAGGCCAGTGGCTGGAGGGGATTTTGCTGGGAGCTGCAGGGAAGTGGGCTGCTATTCGGCTGGATGTTTGACTGGACAGAGCCATTTTGAATGGCTGCTTCCATCACTTTGAACACTATTGTTAACTTGTGTCTGTCTTCAATGGGCCTAAACAATGCTCCATGTGATTTGGGTGTGAGCAGCAGTTAGAGCTCACCTAAAACTGTAACTCACCTAAAAAAAAAAATAAATAAATAAATAAATGTGATGGTTTTCCCCAAATTGTGAATTTATTTAATTGTTTCTCTGCTGATAAACGATATATATGGCCACCTCGGTGGTCTGGCTGCTGACTTCCTGCTTTAGCTAATTTATCATTTCCTCGTCCTCTGGGTTCAGGTTTTTCCTTACTTCTGTCTATATTTTATCATTCTGAGCCAGAAGTGTGATAAATTATCATTATAATTTTTTTAAGGACGATTAAGGCAAGGCAAGGCAAATGTATTTGTATAGCACAATTCAGTACAAAGACAATGCAAAGTGCTTTACATGATTAAAATACAGGAAGATAAAACAGAATCAAAGCAAGTAGGAAAAAGTAAATAAAATAAAATAAACAATGCACAAACAAATAAGAATATTAAAAACAGTTGGACTAAAGAAATATGTTTTAGTTGAACTGTTTAACTAAAAAAAATGTGTTTTTAGTCTTGATTTAAAGGATTAAAAAAATCCTTCCAACATTTCCTGCTAACAGGATCTTTGGAGAAAGAAAGAGCGTCCACTCTGTCCTTTTTTCCATGTTGCTAAGAAGCAGCAACTCAGCAGTCTAAAGTATTTCATTGGATGTTTTGTAGAAGTTTGGGTTCTCGTTCCTGTTTTGATCAAAAATGTGTGTAAAAAGGAAATAAAACGTCCAGCTGTGATATATCTGTGACTGACCTGAACCTCCTGGCTCTAAAATATGATCAAGTTTGCCCTTAAAGTCTCCCGTTTCTTCACCTCCACCTGAGGGGTGCAGGGAGTAGATAAATAGTGTTTCTGTAGGTGGAGCTATAAATATCTGGAGTCATTTCAGGGCCTCCTGTACAGATTTAGGACAGGATTTCTTATTATGTGCTGCTACCAAACATCTGTCTTCAAACAGATGTTTGGTAGCAGAGAAGCGCTGCTCCCCCTCGGTGCAGATAGATGCTTCTTCAGCTCCGGCGGTATTTATAACTCTTGTGTTTCTGCTTCCAGGCGACTTTGCGGTTCTGCTGAAGGCCGGCATGAGTGTAAAACAGGCCATCATCTACAACGTGCTGTCGGCACTCATGGCGTATGTGGGCATGCTGATCGGCACGGCGGTGGGCACGTACACGCACAACGTGACCAGCTGGATCTTCGCCATCACCGCCGGGATGTTCCTCTACGTGGCTCTGGTGGATATGGTAGGCTGGGACCGTCCCGCTCTGACCTTCTCTTCCTCCGCTCTCCGGTTCTGACTGGTTTCCTTGTGTCCCGCACAGCTGCCAGAGATGCTTCACGGGGACAGCGAGGAGCACAAGCGCTGCCAAGTGGGACACTTCATCCTGCAGAATGTGGGCATGCTGACCGGCTTCAGCATCATGCTGCTGATCGCCATCTTTGAGGACCGCATTGTGTTTGACTTTGGCTTTTAGCGAAGGACGGAGGAAGTGGACGGCTGGATGTATCAGTGTTTTTTTTTCCTTAAAGTGTCCTGTCTGCTGTCCTGCACGTGCTCCATTGGTCTCTGTTCCAAACTACAGCTGTCCGCTCTTCTCCTCATCTTTACGCCTTGCTCCTCCTCTTCCTCGGCTCCTCGTTCTCTTCCTGTGAAGCACAAAGCTGCCCCCCCCCTTTTCCCCAGGATAGACGTTCCCACCTGTAGCATTCTTGTCCTTCATGCCTTCGCCTCATTCATGCTGCGTCCCGTCTCCGTGGCTTGTTCCTGTGTGCTGATGTCGTCCCGCTGCGCTCCGCCCACCGCCTGAAGCTGCGGTGTGAGAACAGAGGCGTTCCTCCGCCGATCGGTGCAGAACTCGGTTGTTTGATGTTTGTAGGGAATCTGAAGTCGTAGACGTTTATGAGAGCAGCTGCCAAAGCCTTTAACTTCAGCATGTTCAGCATCCTGAGCAGCTGCGTAACCTGACTGCCTGCCATGTTTCTGAGTAGATCTGTCGATCTGAAGCCAAACTCAAACATGTTTTATGTTTAAAATTCATTGTTTTTTATAATGAAAAAAAAATGTTGATGCTGTGAAATCAGACCGACGTGTCGTGAGGCAGACCTGCTGTCCGCAGCTGCAGCTCCAATCTATGCAGATGATCTGTGCTGAAGAAGCCAAACTAATTTTGTTGTAAACTGACCACCTGTCTGCAACATTTGAATCATTCCATTTTTTTTTTTTTTTTTTTACATCATTATTGTCGCTCTTCCTTTAAATCCAGCTGCTTCATCAGGTGGAGCCTCATAGGCTCCGCCCCTCTGTCTTCATCACATTCCATTGGCCCATAAGCTTAGCGGCCTGATAGAGCGCACACCACCGTGTATTTATCCTGTCACTGTGTGACATCATCATCTGGTCGGACCCGGCAGAGGCTCATTGTTCTCGGGCTGTTTGAATCCTGGAACGTAATCAGAACAGTTCAGATGTTCCACACACCAGTAAGGTTAAACAGGAATCATTACTTTGTTTAATTGGTTACTGCCGTCCAATCAGAGACCGGAACCAATTAAAATAATGGCTCCAAAATGGCCAGGATAAAATCCCGGCTCTTTAAGAATTAAAAGAATGAAACGTTCCCCCCCGGATTTGACATTTAATCTGCACAGTTTAAGTGAAAGAAAAAGTTACAGGAAGCTGTGATATCCTGGTCGTATAAATATTAACACCCTGAAAACCTACGTTTAGATCCGCCTCTGGAATTAAAACTGCTGTCAGTTAAAATGTTGAATCAAAATCTTCCTGCAAAGATTTTCCTGCCAGGTTATAATCTGCTTATTTTGCAGAGAGATTACAAAGATTTGCTTTTTTTCTTATTCTGAGATAAAACAAACTAAATGTTCTATTTATGAAATTCTGGAAGGATATTTGTGTGAAAAGGAAATTAAATTTGAACTTTCAGAACCAACAAAACATCATGATATGCTTAATTTAAGTCAATAATACATTTTGTCTAATGTTTCAACAGAGACCTTAATGCTTTAAAACTGAGTTTTATTCTTTAGTGGATCCAAGCAGGCCTCTAAACACATTAAAAACATCCCTTCAATTAATGGAAATGAGTCCAGTACTTTGAATGGGGTCAGCAGAAGATGGTTAAAGACAGAAGATCTGGGATAAGAAGAACGTTTGTAGTCAGAATGGGTCCAAATGTGGGATCCTGCTAATGAAGACAGACTCCAGGGTTTAGGTTTCAGGGTGTGGGTTTATGGAAGCAGGTCTTTGCAGTGTTGAATTTAGAATCATCAGGGTTTCCTTTTTCAAATCAGTGTTAGAGAAACATTTGACAATCATTATACATCAGCGTTAAATACATATGGAAACATTTTTATCTCAATTAAAATACCTAAACGACCAGATCCTGGCTTCAAATGGAGGAATGAAACGTGTCATTGAAGAGCTGGAACCAACAGAACCTGAATGTTTTTACCTGGTTTAAGCTTCAGCTTTCATTTAGTTTGTTGAAATGGACAGAATTAGCCCCTCTGCTCCAAGCAGGACGCTTCCTCACTGCTGGATTCGCCAAGAGAAAGAGAAAAGAAAGGCCCAACGCCTCCATCATTGTTTATGTGTATATTTGTTTTGTAAAATGCGACATTATTGTTGTTAGCCTGTTGGTGCCCATCGATGCTGAAGAAGAATAAAGTCATTTGAAGATGCTGAAACCCTGGTTGGAGGTTTGTTTTTTAACCATGGTGACTGTAGAGGTGCTGTAGAGATAACCTGACTCCAGGATGGTACAAATAAATAGTTTTCTTATCAGAAATATAGTTACTGTTGCTTCCCTTTGATCTAGGGAGGAATATAAACCATCTTAAAGCCCCCATTTTACAGAGAGAATAGTTATTCTTTGGTGAAAAACATTTATACAACTTCTAATCCTCCCAGAAATTGTCAGAAAATTTACCGGTAGCCCAAAATCGGAGTATAAATAAAAAAAACCCCACAAAAGTTGCATCTCATTCAGAGAAATCAATTCTTAACTCATAACAATAGACCAGAGAGCAATTTGTTTGGAGGGGTTAAATGGTAACCTGACTCCGCCAGATGGATTTGCTCCGCATATCCATCTGGAAACCTTCCGTTGAAGTAATTTTGGGAAGGGGCGAAAATACTGGTTAGCTGATTGGCCTATGTTGGTGATAGACGGGCCAAATAAACCAATCAGATCAACGAAGCATATGACGTACTAACAGAGCGACGACGAAAACACAACCACAAGCCAGGCTACTCTTGCCGAAACCAGTCGGGAGAAGAGCAAAAACATCTTTTCCTCTGAGAAAAGCCTCCAGAGCAGTGTTTTGCTCTTCTTTCAGTGAAGAAAACTCTGTAATTCCGATAAAACTTGCTCGATAGCCACGCTAACGCTAGTTTCATCGGCTGAAGCCGCCATGTTCTTTAGACTGAACTGTCGCGCTTCTCGTTGCGTCACACCTCAACCCGCCTCAAATCCAACGCTGATTGGACGTTCGTTTGGTGAACGGCTCCAAATTTTCTGTAACGGAGAGTCTCCAGACTGATTAGCGAGTGAAACCTTAAAAGCTCGCCAGATCAGGATGGTCTCGCGAGGCTAGGTTCCTCTATCACGGGTCAGATCAAATTGCCAAGGGATCAACCTTTTCAGCTTCTCTAGGAAACACGTCCATGTGTTGGAGAGAAGGTCCTGCTGGATGAACTGCTGAACCTCGGATTCAGGAGGAGCCACTAGGAGTGGCGGCCATAGAGCTTGGAATCCTGAAGTTCTGAGTTCGAACCCCTCTCCCACAGACTGCCACTCTGGGTCTCTGAGCAAAGAACCTTAACCCCTGACTGCTCCCCAGGCGCCCCATAATGGCAGCCCACTGCTCCCCAAGGGGATGGGTTAAATGCAGAGGTAAATTTCTCCAATCAAAGTTCAATTATTATTATTTGGCACCATATCTTTGCCTCAGGAGAATTGCTGAGAGGCTCATGAGAGTTTGTTCTTCTCCTTGGTCATCAATCCTGGACAGGATTCCATAGTTTGGTCTCATCTGGATTTTCAGTGGATATTCTGGTTTTGTTGGCTTTATCAGTCCATTATTGCAGCTGGTCTGAGAGCATGGTTCCTCACAGGGGAAATTCACCTCTTCTTGTTTTAGGGTCAGCCTTTGCCTAAAGTGGAGGATTTTTCAGTGATTCTTACGTTATTTGGTTCTACTGTGATAAAAAGAGAACGTAAAACTCTAGATTAACATCTTGATTGAAAGAACATCCCGGATCTAATGGGCCAGAGTTCCAGTGAGAGGAGCTCCAAGGAGTCGCTGCTCTACTACACTGCAAAAACATTCTGAAGGTCAGTAAAACATTTTAAAATAAGAGTATTTACCCTTAATTTGAGTAGGCTACGGAAGAGGATTAGGGCCACTGGAAAAAAAAAAAAAAAAGTTAACTGTTTTTTTTTATTTTATTTCAGTATAGTATGGGAAAAAAGTCAGAATTCTGACTTTTTTCCCATACTGTGATTTTCTTTTCTCAGAATTCTGACTTTTTTTCTCAGAATTCTGACTTTTTTTCTCAGAATTCTGACTTTTTTTCTCAGAATTCTGACTTTTTTTCTCAGAATTCTGAGAAAAAAGTCAGAATTCTGACTTTAATCTCAGAATTCTGAGAAAAAAGTCAGAATTCTGAGAATAAAGTCAGAATT